TTAATAACCAAGAGTTTTTATTAGCTCTTTATTGGTGAAGTGGCATGAATAAAACTGTTAATAAAAGACATTCATATCTTATAATCTAATAAAAGTATAAAATTACAAAAATGTTGTTGATAATATTGTATTAACCCCACAGGAAACCTCCTAAGCTAAAAGGATCATGTGCTCTGTTAAGTTGGATGGTTATATATATTTTTAGTATTCTGTGTTTAGAAGGTCCAAAACTAGTATGCTAATATTCTCATATCAGACAGCTCATCATCAGAATTAAATATCAAAATTAAGGATTGTTTTGATCTGTACTATATATTTTTCCTCAGCAAATACACAAATGGTACATATTTAAAAACAAAATAGAAAACAACTAATTACCCATCACACATGAGGGTCTGGCATACATACAAAGTGTCCTTCCTAAGTTTTTCTTTTATAATATACAAGTCAGTTTAAAATGATGGAACTTCTCTGAGAACTAGGAAAGCTGTAGCCTGTGCTTAAGGAATGGAAAAAAATCAAGGCAAAGCATCCATAATTTCCAGCGTTTTTCTCAATCCCGTGCTTGTAGCTACTGTCTCTCTGTGTTAGAACCTGGAGTCTATGCTCTGTGGGAATGTTGTATCCCAACAGACATAAACTAATACTTAGTGTACAAATTCTGCGTGTCAATGTAGTGACAGACCTGATGACTCAGGTAATCAATGTGATAGCCTGTGCCTTCCCCTCCTAAGTAGCCAGCCATACTGTGGATGGCATATGTGTGCCACATCCTCCTGGATGAACCCATTTTAGAGAACAGCAGGAAAACTCTAGAGAGACAGGAGAGTGGCAAAGGAATTGTGTCTCCTCAGAGCTAAGGGAATTGTGTATGGGAACCCACCATAACAGACTTGAGACTCTAGCCTCAGGTCCCAGAGATCCTAGACCAGGTCTTTTTTTTTTTTTAATAATATTTTTACTTTACAATTAACTTAATTTTACATTTCAGTCACAGATTCCCTGTCCTCCCTCCTCCCACCCCCCAGCCCTCCCCCTTAATCCACCCCCTACTCCTGCCTCCTCCAAGGCATGGTCTCCCCCTGGGGACTCAGCCCAGCCTGGCAGACTCAGCCAAGGCAGGTCCAGTCCCCTACTCCCTACACCAAGGCTGAGCAAAGTGTCCCAGCATAGGCTCCAGGCTCCAAAAAGCCAGCTCATGTACCAAGGACAGGTCCAGGCTCCACTCCCTGGGGGGGCCTCCCAAACAGTTCAAGCTAATCAACTGTCTCACTTATCCAGAGGGCCTGGTCCAGTTCCATGGGGGCTCCTCCGTCATTGGTTCACAGTTCATGTGTTTCCACTAGTTTGGCTATTTGTTCTGTGCTTTTTCCAATCATGGTCTCAACATCTCTCGCTCATACAATCCCTCCTCTCTCTTGCCAATTGGACTCCTGGAGCTTGGCCATGGATCTCTGCATCTGCTTCCATCAGACACTGGATGAGAGTTCTATTATGACAGTTAGGGTGTTCGGCCATCCGATCACCAGAGCAGGTCAGCTCAGGCACTCTCTCAACCATTGCCAGTAGTCTACACTGGAGGTATCTTTGTGGATTTCTGGGGACCTCTCTAGCACTCTGCTTCTTCCTATTCCTCTGGGGTCTTCATTCATCATGGTATCTCCCTCTCTGTTCTCCCACTTTGCTCCTGATCCAGCTGGGACCTCCCTCTCCCCTAAGCTCTATTTGCTCTGACCCTTGCCCTCCATTACCCCCACCCCCACCCCCAGTTTGCTCATGTAGATCTCATCTATTTCTCTGTTATTGGGTGATCCCTGTGTCTTTCTTAGGGTCCTCTTTACTTGGTAGCCTCCCTGGAGTTGTCAGTTGCAGTCTGGTTATCCTTTGCTTTACATCTAGTATTCACTTATGAGTGAGTACATACCATGTTTGTCTTCTGAGTCTGGGTTACCTCACTCAGGATGATTTTTTTCTAGTTCCATTCATTTGCCCACAAACCTCATGATGTCATTGTTTTTCTCTGCTAAGTAGTACTCCATTGTGTATATGTACCACATTTTGTTTATCCATTCTTCAGTTGAAGGGCATCGAGGTTGTTTCCAGGTTCTGGCTATTACAAATGATGCTGCTATGAACATAGCTGAGCATGTGTCCTTGTGGTATGATTAAGCATTCCTTGGGTATATGCCCAAGAGTGGAAAAGCTGGGTCTTGAGGGAGGTTGATTCCCAATTTTCTAAGAAAGTGCCATATTGATTTTCAATTTGGCTGTACAAGTTAAAATCCTCTGGAAGCATCACAGTCCCTGACTTCAAGCTCTAGTATAGAGCTACAGTAATAAAAACAGCTTGGTACTGGCATAAAAACCGACATGTGGACCAATGGAACCGAACTGAAGACCCAGACATTAATCGGAACATATGATTTTCAACAAAGAAGCCAAAACTATACAATGGAAAAAAGAAAGCATCTTCAACAAATGGTGCTGGCATAACTGGATTTCAATATGTAGAAGACTGAAAATAGATCCATATCTGTCACCGTGCACAAAACTTAAGTCCAAGTGGATCAAAGTCCTCAACATAAATCCAGTTACTCTGAACCTGATAGAAGAGAAAGCAGAAAGTAGTCTTGAATGCATTGGTACCAGAGATCACTTCCTAAATATAACACCAGTAGCACAGACACTGAGAGAAACTAATAAATGGAACCTCTTGAAACTGAGAAACTTTTTTAAGGCAAAGGACACGGTCAACAAGACAAAATGACAGCCTACAGAATGGGAAAAGATCTTCACCAACCCCACATCTGACAGAGGGCTAATATCCAAAACATATAAAGAACTCAAGAAATTAGACATGAAAGTACCCAACAGTCCAATTAAAAAATAGGCTATAGAGGTAAACAGAGAATTCTCAACAGAAGAAGCTCAAATGGCTGAAAGACATTTAAGGAATTGCTCAACATCCTTAGTCATCAGGGAAATGCAAATCAAAACGACTCTGCGATACCACTTTACACCAGTCCAAATGGCTAAGATCAAAAACACTGAAGACAGATTATGTTGGAGAGTATGTGAAGCAAGGGGAACACTGGACGAGGTCTTAAGGAGAGGGAGAGTGAGCATGGGAAGAAGATGTCTGATGTCTGCAGTTTTCAAAGCTACAGAAAGGATTCATTAAATGCCATATGCAACAATGTGAATAAGCTGGAATATTTTATCCTAAGTGAAAACCAGGTATAAAAAGACAGATATTAATCCAATTTATGTGTGGAATTAAAGCAATGGATCTTAGGATGGTGAGATGGATTGGCATGTAAAGGCTCTTTCTGAGCAAACCTGGTGTACTGAATTTGATCCTTGAAATCCATGTAAAGGTGGAAAGAGAATCAACTCTGTACTCCACAAAGTTGTCCTCTGACCCACATATGCACACACAGACATGTGTACTCAAACACATGTACACAATTTGCTCACACTAACAATTAAATGAATCTAAGTTTTAAAAATTGAGTTCATCGAGTTGGGAGTAGAAACTGGGCACAAAAGATTAAGGAATGTAGAAGATAGAAATAGAAGGTAAAACTTTGGGTTGTTTATAAGTGAGGTAGTTAATATAGTTGTAGTTAGTAGATAATGAAAATGTATTACAAATTTCACAAAAGGTAGGAGGAAGTATTTTGAGGAAATAGGTATGTCAACCTTGATTATAACATTACACAATGTGTGTCTGTGTCAGAATATCATACTGGGATGTAGATTATATACAAATTTTGTCAAATTAATACAAATAACTATGAAAGCAGTGAGAAACTAACAGCTATACACTTACTACTTCATATCATTGTCAATTGATAGGAGACAGAGAATAGCCAAACTCAGCATCAGAAGATTTAAAACAAAAGGCAAAGCTTTGGTGTTGTCTAGTATCTAAGTCAAGGTTTCTAGTGTTGTGATAAACCAGGAAGAACAGCAGCTTGGAGGGCAAAGGCTGATTTCATCTCACATTCTGGGTAACAGTCTATCACTGAGGGAAGTCAGGCAGGAACTCAAGCAGGGAAGGATTCTAGAGGCAGAATTGATGCAGACAGCATTAAAAAGGGTCCTGTTTATTAGTTTGTTTGCCATGGCTTGCTCAGCCTACCTTACAGCAAGGAAAACCACCAGCCCAGGGTTAGCATCCCCCACAGTGAGCTGGGTCCTCCCACATCAATCACTAATTTTCAAACTACACTCCAGACTTTCCTACAGGCTACCCTTATAGAGTCATTTTCCCAATTGAGAGACCCTGCATCCAAATGGCTCTAGGTTGTGTTAATTAGACATAAAACTAGCCAGAACAGGTTTATTAAATACTATATGATAATATCAGTCACTTGCTAGTACCTGGACTATGTGCTAGCAATATTGTGTACAATGATTCTAATTCTCAAACAAGTTCTGCATCTTGCCTTTGGGTTTTCTGGTTAAGCAAATGAGAATTCAAAGAAATCACCCCCCTGAACATGTGTTTTGACCGAAGAAGCAGGTTTCAGTCCCTCAAATGCATAGATTCACATCACTTCTCCTGTTCCCTCCCCCTCTCCAAAGGGATAATAAATCACTTCCTGTCCAGTCATGTGTCTTCTGCTTTATCTTTTAGTATGCTTAGTAGTGTGAGGCAGAAAGTAAATATGTCATTAATGCTTGCAGAATTAAGGTGCAAATATAAACACGTGCGTGAAATTAACCAAAAAAGAAAAATATGTGTGTTTGTGTGGGAATTTATCCTGTAACAAAAAGCTGCATGTTAAAGATTGTGTTGTAGGTATTCTTATGTTAAATAAAAAAAGCAAGAGGATTTCTATACAATACAATAGAATTTTCTATAATAGAAGAAGCTGACAAAGCAACACTTTAAAAGCATTAACTGTGAAATCAAATTCAGGAGCCAATTGATGTACTATCATGCACAGCTTTCGATTTCAATTGAGTACCTCTGTTTTTTGACTTATGAACAGGCTATGTGCTTTGACTGGTAGGCGCCTGGATGAAGAGCCCAGGGTCCAGAGTGTCACCCACCTGGAACAGCAAAGACCCTCCCATCTACTAGGAGCATTCAAGTAAGTGCTAATTGCTATATTAGAATGTAAGACTTTTAGTCTTGAATTGACTTCCAACAAGGTGATCTGGTATATTTTTATACAAACAGCATTGTATATCAAAATTTTATAAACTTCACCTTCTATCATTTATCTTACAGATTTGAGTCCACTTTCTTTAGATAGTGTTATACATATTTTAGTTTCTGTTTGCCTCCTGAAATTGGTTCAGTTTCTTTGCATTTATGTGTATCAATTATTTTATATATTTACAAATGTAACTAATTAAATCCGACATTTTGTTTATCCCAATACACTGATTTCATTGAAAATTTACAATGTAATTTGTACATCAAGATAATGTATATTTTCATTATCTACTAGCTATAATTATATCCACTACCTGAAATAAATGTGTGTATAATATATATAACATACATGTATGTAATATTTGTGATATATATTTTTATGTATATGTATGTACATATATATAAATACAGTTTTCAATTTTCTATGGGTTCATTGACGTTGTGGGATATTTCTCCACATATGGCGATATACAATCTGAGTTTCCATGTGAAGACATGTCAGAATGAGTTTGTGTTTTCTACTAGAACAATTTATTCTGTGGGTAGGAAGAGTTGCTATTGTGTAGTTAAAATACTTTTTATACAGACTACTTCTGTCCTTGAACTTCAGACGGTTGTTCTAGTTTATTCCATATAAACTTTTAAATGAGTGGATAAAGGAAGGACTCTAGAGATAGCAGCGACCTGAGAACAGGCCCAGCATGGCCACCAACAAACTTTAGGAACCGGGATGAATTGTTTAACCTTTCAAAGTATTCTCTTTGCAAATCTATGAATTAAATAAAATGACAAAAGAGACAGTCATATATACGTTAAACGGTGACAAAGGCTAAGATGGATAATTCAAATGTTTGAAGTGTCATGTGGACAAAAGGTACCACCTGTGAAGACATTCAGATTAGATTTTATATTCACTCATTCATTCAATCATTCACGTGTGCATGTGTGCACGTGTGCATGCGTGCGTGCATGCGTGTGTGTGTGTGTGTGTGTGTGTGTGTGTGTGTACGTATAGGCAGGCACACAGGTGTTTTGGGTATGAGTGGAGATCAGAAACAAACTCTTTCTATTTTCACATTGTGGGATGCAAGGGTTAAATAGAGGATTCAGACCTGGGAGCAAACACCTCTACATGTTGAACCATCTTGTCAGTCCATAATTTGGTTTCTGCTAGTGAAAACTGGCAAAGTCTAAATATAGTCACGTTTCCATTACTCATTAAAGGGTCAAATGATGACTGTTTATAGTGAACACATAAAGGCACAGCATCAAATGCACGTGGTGATCAGGAGACACCTTATGGGAGTCAGTCCTCTCCTTCCACCATGTGGATGTTAAGGATGAAAATCAGGTTGTCAAGCTTAGCAGCTTTGATCTTTACATACAGAACCATCTTGCTGGCACCAGATTTCAACATTTTCACATAGACAAATAAATAAATTGGAAAGGCAGAGAGGGCAGTGGTTGTAAAGAGAATTGAATTTGATTTTGATTGGGGTGGATTTTGGACTGAATCAGATCTAACATCTTTTTTAATTAAATGCAAGGCAATTAAATTTTATTATTTAAAACATAACATTGCCTACTCTGTTGAGCCTATATATGCTCCTTTTTATTACCTAAAAATAAGTTTGAAAAAGAATGTTTGGGCTCTCTCTAAATTTGAGTAGTAGAAATGGGGACAAGGCAGATTTTAATAATCAAATTCACACTAACAGATTCACCAGAGTGATAGTTCTTTAGAGGTGTTTTCTTTTGACACTTAGCAATGGGAACTGTGAATGCAGTGCAGAGGCCCACCTAGCTTGCAAACTACTGGCTAACAGAGCCTTGCTTAATTAGTACTTTCACTGAGAAACTGTGACTTCCTAAAGAAAAAAATATCTATTTGGCAATAGTTTATGATTCTTTAACAAGTACAAAAAGTTCAAGTTTATTAGTATAAAATAAGCCAATATTTAAATTAAAGTGAGTCATATAGAATCAAATCAATAAATTTATGTATGTTTATTTTGTACTACAGTTTTTTAGGTTCATCAGCTTTAATTATCTGTTTTGTTTTGTTTTTTACAGCAATAGCTTGTGTTTATTTATTATAATCACCTGTTTCTGCCTTTCTAGCCTACATCTTAGTGGGAATGTAGTGAATTTCATCAGGAGCTAATGACAATTAGGCAACAAGCCGAGCAGAAGATGGGAAGTGAGACAAGACAATTTATTCAGAGGATCTTTTCTGTATTATTTGGCTCAATTTAAATCAGAATTTATGTTTATAAGAAATGGAGCCCAGGACAATATGGACTCTCAAGTGCTGTCCTTCCAGTAACAGGAGACTTAGAACAGGATGAGCCCTTCATACTGTTGGCTGGACCTTTCTGACACCTTCATCCTACCTCTGCGCCTCACAGAGCCTTTCACTCCATGACCACCATTCACAATCAGCTACTTCAGCTTCCATCTGCTTTGAACGGGGGGGGGGGGGGGGGGGGGGGCAGCACTGATGTGCACTGCTTATGTCAATTGGTTTCTGAATTACAGAAACAGTGTCTTTGCCTGTGATATGTAGTTTTATGATGCTCTATTAGAAGTTCATTGCATTACATTAGAGTCTAGCAATGTGTTTTGTGTGTTACTTTTGCTTAGGTTGCATTTGTTTAACTCTGTGAAGCTGTGATACTTTGCCTGTCTAAAACACCTAATGGGCTAATAAAGAACTGAGCAGCTAATAGCAACATAGGAGAAAGGATCGGCAGGGCTGGCAGGCAGAGAGAATATATAGAAGAGAAATCTAGGAGGAAGGAAAAAGTAGCCAGAGAAGGAGAAGGACCCAGGGGGCAGCCACCCAGCTATACAGCAAGTCACAGAGTAAGAAATAAAGAAAGGTATACAAGGAATAGAAAAGAAAAAGCCCACAGGCAAAAGGTAGACTTGTTATGTTAAGAAAAGCTGGCTAGAAACAAGCCAAGCTAAAGCCAGGCATTTATAGGTAAGAATGAGCCTCCATGTGTAGTTTATTTGGGAGCTGGGTGGCAGGTCCTCCAAAGAAAAAAAAGCAAAAACAACATCAGCAATGTTATGATAATTTTGCTGTCTTTTTCTCTGATAGCTAATTCAAAGCAGAAAAACTCAGATGTTAATATTCACACTGCTTGGAACTGGCTTTATCTGTACCCCGACCTTACCATTATCTGTGGTGATATATTGTATGCCGTAGTAAACGTTGCCTGAAGATCAGAAGACAGAACAAGCCACCAAATTAAAAATAGATGCCAGGCAGTGGTGGCACACACCTTTAATCCTAGTGCTCAGGAAGCAGAGATCCATCTGGATCTTTGTGAGTTCAAAGCTACCATGGACTACATGAAATCGACTCAGTCTAGGAGAGAAAACAGAGCCAAGCAGTGATGGCACACACCTTTAATCCCAGTACTGGGAAGCACACAGGCCTTTAATCCCAGGAAGTGATGGCTGGGTGGAGAAAGGTATATAAGGTGAAGAGACAGGAACTAAAGATTTTGCAGCAGAAGCGTCCCTTTCAGCTAGAGATTTTTTCAGGCTGAGGAGTTGGTGAGGTAAGAGATGATGGCTGTGGCTTGTTCCTTTGTCTCTCTGATCTTTCAGCATCTACACCAATATCTGGTACCGGGATTTTATTAAAAGACCTTTTAAGATTTGTGATGTACTCGTCTTCTCTTTAATTTTGTTCTTCTATGTAATCCAGTGCACATTCTGTGCCTTGTACAAAACTAGGATAAATGTAAACAGTTCACACTTGAGGGAAAGAAGCTATGCATGGAGACTGTGCTGATTCCCTCCTTGTATTCCATGGTCCTGCTTAGTAATAGGAACTTAGAACAGATAAGCCATAATCATGATTAAATGACTTTTAATTCACTTTAAGGGGTAAATTAACAAAGTATATATTCAATAATTTGGTGAGGAATGAAATATGGACAAAGTATCTTTTTATACTAGGAAAGATAGTGACAGCAACTTGTGGTTCATTGCATAACCCAATGGTTCCTACCATAAAATAAAATGGTCAAGAAAAGCATCAAGGTGAAGGTGCTTGGAAGCCACATTCATAGCCAGAGATACGTCAGTGGAACTGAGTTAAGGAATCTCTGGAGTGAATCCTTGCAGCTGCGGGGGATATTTCCATACCTCTTACCATGCGGTCATCATTACTTGACACTCATTAGCTGTGACTTTCAAATGAAGTGTTTGATTAAAATCAAATCATCATTCTTATAATAACCCAGAAGTAAATGTGTAAGAATTAAAAAAAAATAAAGATATGACAGTGGATTTAGAAATACTGTAGCTCTTCTGTGAATATTGCAGTTGTTTGATTTTTTTAATAAAATGCTCTTATCAAAATATAATGTAAAGTGTTCTAATGCAATAAAGTTGGGGTATTCAGGAAAAAACCCAAATAATAATAGTAAAAGTTTAGCTGTGACTTAGTAGACTTGAACCAAAATTTTCTAGTCAATTAGACTTGATCGTGCGAAACAGTGACATACAATAAAAGTAATTAGGAATCCATATTACAGAGCGGTGGGTTGCTTGGCCTGGCGATGGCATTTTATGCTGTCTGAGATTCACAATGCTTCCTGGGTCTCTTCAAGCCTGGGCAGAAGCACATATCACAGTTTTTACTTTTCTTGAGAAGGACTCACTACACTGCTTATGAAATGTAATTTATCCCAGAATTACTCTTTGCTATTTTATTTCCCTGAAGAGGCATCCTACACATAGATGTATAACAAATGAAAAACAATTCAGAGTTTTCATAGTCTAAAAACAAAAATTCAACAGGAAAGTAAAATCACACATGGTCGTAGATTATTTGGGGGTCTATGAATTTCAAACTCAATGGCTTTTAGTAATGAAACCTGCTACTGTTCTTCTGAGGAATAAAGAGAGAGC